GCGAGGCAGTAGAATAGATCGCCTAGGGAGGCTGAAGAACCTGCTTTGTTAAAGATTTTTTCAAGAATAGCTCTCACATGTGTTTGCCGGCGATGTCCCTGCCTCGTTACAGGGGGACGGGCTAAATTAGCTCTTGAGGTGCCTTCTACCCACCTATTTTGGGATCTCAGCCATCAATACAGTCAACCTAGAAATGTAGGTGCGGCTGGACATCCTTGGCTCCTGCTGGTTTCTCTGCTGACTCTGTCCCCCTGCCATGGGGGACCATCCCCATCCCTCAGACCCTCAGGGAACCTCCTTCTCCCACCTCTATCCATCTTCTGTTGCTCTGTCGTCCCCCCCAAAACCAGCCCTTGGCAGACACCAGGGATGCCCCAGCTCATCATTCCCTCCATCCACGGCCATTCCCCAGCGATAGCCTCTAAATTTAGGGAGAAGGAGAGAGGGTTGAGGTTGGTTGAGGGTGTCTGGACCCACACCTCCTGCCTGGGGGAGCAGCAGGCTGCTGAAATCCCAGCTGGAAGGAGAAGATCTCCTTGGCCCCTGCGGCCAGTCCCTTTGGAAAGCACAGCCTGCCCCAGGGTATGATTTAATTGCATCCAGAGAGGCTGGAGCACTCCCACCTCCAGAGCTGTGCCCCCAGGCCCTTTCCTGGATCAGCAAGGAGAAAGCCAGGACCTGCTTAGAGCAACCCTCTTTCTCTACTAACCCTGTTGGAAAAGGGTTTTTCCCCTTCCCTTTTCCATCTCCTCTCCCTGCTTCTCCCTTCCTATCAGGCTGTGGGAAGGGGCAAGAAGCCCCACAGCCCCCTGCAGAACTCAGCATATCCCCAAAATCTGGCATTTGGGACACCCTGCTCTCCTGGGAGGAGCTGAATGTTTTTTGGGACAGGATGATCTCGGCTTCTGCATTCACCGGGCTCATTTTCCAAGGCAGGAAGAGTTAATCCCGGCACCCCAGCCAAATTTTAAGCGGGGTCATTAAGGCAGGCCTCCCTTTAATTGGACAAGATATTCATTTTCAAGTCCTACGAGGCAAGGGGGAGTGTTTTGCAGGCGACGACGGCTTATTATCAATACAAATAAGAGCTTTCCAGACACCCTCCCTCCTCCCTCCCCTCTCCTCTTTGAAAGGCAGGAACCCGGAGAAAAGCTTAAATAGCTGGAGTGTCCTGTTGGCAGAAGAAGGGAGGCTGAGCCCCAGATGATGCTGCTGGGGGAAGAAGAAGTGGGACTTGCTAAGGAAATCAGAGCAGGATACAGGAGAGGAGATCAATGGGGTCTAAGTCTACTCTTTCTCACACCAGGTTCCTGCCTCCCTCCAAGTTCACAGCTTCCCCACCTCAAGAGGGGCTTCTCTTGGGGATTTTCACCCCCAAACCCCTCGCTCTTCCCAAGAGTCCAAAGCAAATTCCTGCAAACGTGGGAAGTGCTGCTTCCCTCTGCTTTCTCTGGTCTTTGGACACCTTCTCCTAAGAAGAAATGAGGTCCGAGGGAGGGGGACAGGCAAGGACCACCTCCCAGACACTGCAGGTGACTCCCTGAGCTGTTCATGTTAGGTCTGGGACCTCCTCAAGTGCAAAGAACCTCCTTGTGCCTCCTGTAGCGACGTCGTTGGCTCACATCAACGTGGCATCACCAACACTGGGCCTGAAAGCACTTTTTTAAAGCACTGCCCGAAAAATAGCAAGTCTGAACCTTGATGCATTCAATGCCAAGGGCCTGTTGTCTCCTCCCCGGGCTCCTTTGTCCCATATTATCACGGAGGCAGCAGGGAAGGAGACATCCCACCGACCTGCTATTCCTGGATGGGCAGAGATCACCTCCTGCCTTTTTGTTGCAGGGTTTTCAGGCTGAGAAGTGTTTCTGAAAAGCCTGAGGGGTGAGGAGAAGCCAGGAGAAAGGGGGCACGCGATCCTTTCAGAGAGAAGAAGGTGGCGAAGGGGCAACACGATAACAACCTTCCCAAAAAGCTCAAGGTTGTTCCCGAAGAGGACGCGGATCAATTGTTCCCCGCGTCCGCCGGGGATAGGCTTCAGAGAGAAGAAGGTGGTGAGGGGGCAACACGATAACAACCTTCCCAAAAAGCTCAAGGTTGTTCCCGAAGAGGACGCGGATCAATTGTTCCCCGCGTCCGCCGGGGATAGGCTGGAGAAAAACTCCACTCCCTTTGCAACAAAGAAGGTTTAAGTTAGATATTAGCTATACATTTTCTAATTATAAAGGCAGCGAGGCAGTAGAATGGATCGTCTAGGGAGGCTGAAGAACCTGCTTTGTTAAAGGTTTTTTCAAGAATAGCTCTCACATGTGTTTGCCGGCGATGTCCCTGCCTCGTTACAGGGGGACGGGCTAAATTAGCTCTTGAGGTGCCTTCTACCCACCTATTTTGGGATCTCAGCCATCAATATAGTCAACCTAAAAATGTACGTGCGGCGTTTCCCTCCCTGCAGCGTGGCCATCCTTGGCTCCTGCTGGTTTCTCTGCCATGGGGGACCATCCCCATCCCTCAGACCCTCAAGGAACCTCCTTCTCCCACCTCTATCCCAGTCAACCTAGAAATGTAGGTGCGGCTGGACATCCTTGGCTCCTGCTGGTTTCTCTGCTGACTCTGTCCCCCTGCCATGGGGGACCATCCCCATCCCTCAGACCCTCAAGGAACCTCCTTCTCCCACCTCTATCCATCTTCTGTTGCTCTGTCGTCCCCCCCAAAACCAGCCCTTGGCAGACACCAGGGATGCCCCAGCTCATCATTCCCTCCATCCACAGCCGTTTCCCAGCGATACCCTCTAAACTTAGGGAGAAGGAGGGAGGGTTGAGGTTGGTTGAGGGTGTCTGGACCCACACCTCCTGCCTGGGGGAGCAGCAGGCTGCTGAAATCCCAGCTGGAAGGAGAAGATCTCCTTGGCCCCTGCGGCCAGTCCCTTTGGAAAGCACAGCCTGCCCCAGGGTATGATTTAATTGCATCCAGAGAGGCTGGAGCACTCCCACCTCCAGAGCTGTGCCCCCAGGCCCTTTCCTGGATCAGCAAGGAGAAAGCCAGGACCTGCTTAGAGCAACCCTCTTTCTCTACTAACCCTGTTGGAAAAGGGTTTTTCCCCTTCCCTTTTCCATCTCCTCTCCCTGCTTCTCCCTTCCTATCAGGCTGTGGGAAGGGGCAAGAAGCCCCACAGCCCCCTGCAGAACTCAGCATATCCCCAAAATCTGGCATTTGGGACACCCTGCTCTCCTGGGAGGAGCTGAATGTTTTTTGGGACAGGATGATCTCGGCTTCTGCATTCACCGGGCTCATTTTCCAAGGCAGGAAGAGTTAATCCCGGCACCCCAGCCAAATTTTAAGCGGGGTCATTAAGGCAGGCCTCCCTTTAATTGGACAAGATATTCATTTTCAAGTCCTACTCCAGCACATCGCTGCACACCCAAGGCTCTTCCACCTTCCACCTGATAAAAGGGCAGGGTGAGCCCTTGAAATTAGGAAGCCCTCTCCTGAGAGCCACAATTTCCATTGGCAGCGGCGAAAATATTCACCTCGTTACAGCACTGAGCCCATCATTGAATATTCCAGTCCCTGATGGTACCTCTGCAAGGAGTCAAAATACACCCTTTTTCCCCCAATACACCCAAATATCTCATCCCAACGACAGAGCAAGGCGGGAGGGATGGACCCGGATGCCTGATGACAACAGGAAATTTAGGTGAGGAAAAGGGGAATCGGAAGAGAAGGGATAGAAATTGTCCTGCCTCACCCCAGCCCCCCCCCCCCCCGCAGGAA